GCGGCTGAGTTTGTAGCGAGCGATTCCAAGCAAGTGACAGTGACATAACTAAAGTCAATTCAAAGGGGACGTAGGTCATAGAGCGAAAAGTTACACGGTGTCATGTGCTTTTTATTGGGAGACCAGCTGACCTCCCGCCCAGCGGTTGATTGGTCGAACGCAGTCCGGGGGAGAGACGAAGATAATAAGACAAAAGAAAGTCACCCCTCTCGCCTGTACAACTTTTTTTTTTTTTTTTTTGCTTTTGACAGGAATGCATCTTATCCGGGATCATGTCGGTGAAGGGGAAGAAGGTGCTGCACATGGACCGCAACTCTTACTACGGAGCCGAGAGTGCCTCCATCACGCCTTTGGAGGATGTATGTTTTTGTATTTGTTTTTCCTCCCCTGCCTTTTAAAAAAAATAAAATAAAATTGTGGGGCTGGGCGGTAGACCTCAATAACCGATTGAATTTCTTTTGTTTCGGTTTCTTTGCAGCTCTACGCCCGTTTCAACCTGCCCGGCAAACCTCCCGAGTCCATGGGAAAAGGTCGCGATTGGAACGTGGACCTGGTTCCTAAATTCCTGATGGCCAATGGTACATCTTCCTCCACTGCATATTGGATTGTGAAAAACAAATGTCCGCTAGGGAGGGCGGAGCCCCGCCACGAATAACTTTAAAAAGGTTTACAATGGTTTGTATATGTCACAAAATGGTGGCAAAGAACTACTTTTGTTCGATTGAAGCTCCTCACCTCACTTGGTTGTAGTTCGTTGGCACTACCATGTTACAAGATGGGGCCAAAACAAGACTTGATTGATCATAATAACAGTAAATAACACAAAATGGTTTTTTAAAAAAAAAATCTGCAAGTAGCTAGCTAAGAATGAGGTCGCTTTTTTGAAGGGAGGAACGTCATCTCGGACAAACCTTTTAAAAAGTTTTGAAGATGTATTTCCTTCGGAGGTGGATTGAGGTCAACTGATTTTTATTTATTTTTTTTCTTCTGTCGAGCGCAAAACAGTTTATGTTCGCGATTGGTGCCACTCAAGCCATCGAATTCTTCACGATTTCCGAGATTTTTTTTTAAATATATTTTTTTAACCACACATTGAGGACTTCAAGCGTTTAACTTCAAACTCCCAAGACCGTTTTTTTTTTAAATTTTTGACAATGTATCTGATGCTCGCCTCTCTCAGGTCAACTGGTCCGCATGCTGCTGATCACCCAGGTGACTCGCTACCTGGATTTCAAAGTGGTGGAGGGCAGCTACGTGTACAAGGCCGGCAAAATCCACAAAGTCCCCTCCACGGAGTCCGAAGCCCTGATGTCCAGTATGTCACCGCGGAGCGTCGCCGCTTTGAGCCGTCCCTTGCCCTAAGCTGTCTCTGTGAACCCCCCCGTTAAGGTCTGATGGGGATGTTTGAGAAACGGCGCTTCAAGAAATTCCTGGTCTTCATCGCCAATTTTGACGAAAACGACCCCAAAACCTGGGAAGGCATCGACCCCCACAAGACGACCATGAAGTGTATTTTCCAGAAGTACAACTTGGGCGGCGATGTCATCGACTTCACTGGCCACTCCCTCGCTCTCTACCGCACCGACGAGTCAGTCGTCTTTGCGATTGTGCACTCGCAGCGCGCATACGTATTTTTTTCCGGATGACGATCACGCCCATAAATACTCTCTTCTCCCCGTTCAGTTACCTGAATGATCCCTGCCTTGAAACGATAAACAGGATAAAGCTCTACAGCGAGTCCCTCGCCAGATACGGCAAGAGTCCGTACCTCTACCCCTTGTACGGCTTGGGCGAGCTGCCGCAAGGCTTTGCCAGGTATGCAAGCCTCCGTTAGTCACGAAGCAATAAAAAAAAATCAGCGGGTTCGTTTTGGCGACGACTTTTTTTTATAATTCCAGGCTGAGTGCCATCTACGGCGGGACGTACATGTTGAACAAGCCCGTTGAGGAGATCGTGATGGAGAACGGAAAGGTGGTTGGAGTCAAGTCGGAGGGGGAGGTAAGCGTGGGATGTTTTTATTGAAAAGTGTTCTAGATTGTCATTTGAATTTCCATTCCCGTGGCGCTTTTGTCTCGCGGAGGTGGCCAGGTGCAAGCAGCTGATTTGCGATCCCAGCTACTTTATGAGTCGGACTGAAAAAGTGGGCCAGGTGATCAGGGCCATCTGCATCCTGAGTCACCCCATCAGCAACACGTCCGACATCAACTCGTGCCAGATCATCATCCCCCAGAACCAGGTCAACAGGAAGCACGGTGTGTACCTTTTCGGCACTCGAAACACGCCATCGATCAGAGATTCCAAGGCAAGTGTGCGGCCGTGAACCCCCTTTCTCTGCTTCCAGACATCTACGTTTGCATGATCTCGTCCGCTCACAACGTGGCGGCGAAGGGCAAATACATCGCCATCGCCAGCACCACGGTGGAAACGAACGACCCCGAGAAAGAGATCAAGCCCGCCCTCGACCTACTGGAGCCCATCGAGCAGAAGTTTGTCAGCATCAGTGACCAGTATGCTCCTACCGACGAGGGCACCGAAAGCCAGGTGAGCTGACCCATTTCGATGCAAAATGCACATCTTTTGTTAAAAAAAAAAAAGACTTCCAAGGTTCCTCAAAAGGTTCCTAATTAAAAGGCTCCTTCTCCTCTGCTGTAGATCTTCATCTCCCGTTCGTACGACGCCACCACCCACTTCGAGACCACCTGCGACGACATCAAGAACATCTACCGGAGGATGACCGGCTCGGACTTTGACTTTGCCGAGATGGAGCGCGGGAAGAAAGACATCTACGGCGACGCTGCCGAATAAGAGAACGGCCGCTGCAGCAAGACAAGTCCTCGTTATCAAAGATGAACGCTGCCCATAACTGAAATCTCACATTATATCGAAAGAATACCGACTCCCGGGGTGGGGGGGGGGGGGGTGGCACGTCGCAGGAATATGTGGCGGTCTCATGGGAAGTTGATCATGTAGAATAATGAAAATAGTATTGCTGGATTAAGAGCAGGGAGCGAGCGTGCTACTTTTTTTTTTTTTAATGACTCTCAGATGGCTGACATACTGAACAGTGGTAACTAATATTGAATAATATCCTGCGATTTGATGTTGAAACTAATGCCGGATCCAAAGATGCCAAATAATGATCCAGTACATCATATTGTGTTTGTATTTTGTAGGCGGGGGGGTTGACTTGTTCTGTCTTAAATTGTATTTCAAACGTGTTTCAGGTATTAAGTCACATCAGGTTGGTTTGGTTTGTGAAAACAAATAGATGTCACAAACATTGGCTTTAAGGTTTGTTTTTGTATATTTCCCCACTGCAGCCACACACTACCATAAAAAGTACCTGGACCTGCCCTCAACAACTTCTAAGATGTATTATAGTCTTCTTGTTTTGTGCTAAATGAAGCAAGAACCGCTTCAGGACCAAATGTGTACTGCGGCAGTATTTGAATTGAGAGCTCTGTGATGTGTCATCTGATGAAACGACAACAAAAAAAATGAACAACATGGGCTCCACTGATTTCTGTACTGCAAAGTAAAACAAAAAAAAAAGTTTGTCAAAAATGTTTTGGATTCTTTTTCTCTCAGCAGTGTTGGTTAGCATGGAAATCAGAGCGGCTGAGGCTTTAATGCCTCTTAATTAGAGGACTGATGCTTTAACCACACAAATCTGACACATACAGAATTTTGATATCCGTTCAGATGTGCGTTGAATACAAAATAATCATTAAAAAAAACCAAATACAGTGCTTGTGCTAAAGTGACAGATGATTCTACACGCAGCTCGGCGAAGTAATTTTGATTAATAAAGTTGAAATTACTCATTATTCCAGTAATTTTTTTTATTTTTTCCCAAGATGGCGCCCGAGTAGGCAGCCTTCTGCAAGTGCTCTTCAAGAGCCTTGCTTTTTTGTTGTTTTTTGTTGTTTTTGTCTTTTGTCACATTTTGTTTGTTGTTTCATCGTGTGGACCTGATATGGACTGTTTTCAGCGTTTTTTGGCCACGACATTCGTCAAAGGAGAAGTATCTGTGCTTGGTGGTTGCGCCTTCTCGGCAGCACACCAGCACAGATTTTGATTGGGAGGAATGTCGGCGCCATTGACTGTCGGTGCTGGCCAGACCTGGGGCGCTTGTGTTTTTTGCGCCTGTAATGGGCAGCATTTTTCACAACCCCGTTTTGTTGTCAAAGGCTTCGGGGAGGTGTTGAGTCAATTATTGCGGAAAAAAGCAAGCAGGGAAGTGACCTACTGTACGGTGACAACGTGCACGAGGCCACAACTTTGGCGCCACGTGCTATTATAAACTGTTTTGATGTTCATATCACGCTTTTTAATTGAGTTCGCGTCAGGGTCGGATTATTCTGTTTTGTTCCTTTGCTGGAAGAATTTGTGCCCATGACAATTGCGTTTGCTCACAGGGCTGTTTTTAAACGTCTCGGCGGTGCATCCGCACATCCATGAAATGACATTCTCAGCTTTGAAAGTTGTCAAAATAATGTCAAGATGAGGACAACAGATGAGTTTTTTTTTTTTTTTTTATATAAAGTGTACCCGCCCCTCCCCCCCCCATGATCAAAAGCATCTTTTGGCTCCTGGCTGCTTTATGACTCATTCTTGCAAATCTGCTGCTTTTCTGCTCAAAACCTTTACGATGCAAATGCACACGTGCAGCAAGGGGTGATTGTTGGAAAAATTGGGCAAAAGGAGGAGGACGACGCACACGTTTGCGGTGTACGACAAAGCGTATGAGGGAAAAGTGGTTAGCATTGCACGACTGTCCGTGTTTTAGGCGATGTGTTGTGTTTTATTATTTTACTTTATGTTAACTGTTTTGTTAAGCGCTTTGTTACAGCTGCCGCTGTTGTGAAAGCGCTATATAAATCAGCATGTATTGTATGTAATGAAAATTATGGAATATACAACATGCTTTTTTTTTAATTCACGGACACTGGGAAGCCTCATTTGTACATATATATATATATTTATACATATTTTTAGTTTCTATAACATACCCCGTGTAAGACTACAAGTCCCATGATTCAATGCGCCACTCGCCTCCAATTACGCCGACTCGTGGTGGACAGACGGTAAACAACATGGCGGTGACACCGGCGCGAAGTTCATCTTTGCACGATTTAGGTGAATATTTTTCACTTTAATTTTACTGAATTAAATCCGCAGTTTGCTGGCGTCATCTCCTGATAATGTGCGCCCTCGCCTTGATGTGTTCATTCATTATAAGTCATGCAAACAACAAAGTTTGAGTCACACGTGAAGCTAGTTTTCTGTACACAACCTCCTTATTTCTATTTTGTTGTCATTTGCCCTTTGCGGAAAAGGTTTGTGGGCGGACCGGACTGTCCTCCACGAGGCCGCATCTCACGGCAGGGCTTTACAGCTGATACGGTTGATAGAGAGTGAAGCGTCAGTCAACATCGTGACCGTGGACAACATCACGCCGTTGCACGAAGCTTGCCTCCGGGCTCACCCGCACTGTGCCCGCCTGCTGCTGGAAGCTGGAGCACAGGTTGTGCTCGTGCATTCGATGTGAATAATCTGTTCCAGAAGACTGTTCGAAAAGCGATTTGCCCGAAATTCGAAACTGTTTTATTAGCCCATGATTAGGGGCTATTACACTTTGCGGAAATAACAAAAACAACAACAACAACAACAAAAAACAGTCAGATTTGCGTAAATCTTTTTTTTTTTTTAATAGAATCTTTATTCGAATGTTTTACGTAAATCACAACAAAACACTGCTCACAATGAACGTCACACGCGGAAGCGTCACTTCCTCGTGTAAGGAAGCCGAGAGGAGTCGACTGGCGTATTCGGGTTTGTTCGAAAACCGGTTTTTGGTCGTAAACTGAGACGTAAAAATGTCGAATTTTCTAGTCGAAATCGGATTTCAAAGTACAAAGTAATACATTTGAATTGGGAACAGCCTATTAAACTGGTGGTTATTTTTTTTTTTTATTTGATAAATATTTTTAAATAAAGTCATACACATTTTACAGTGAGAGGAGACTCAATTGCCATTCGGCGTGATGTGATAAAACCCAAACGAGGACACCAGGTTTAGAAAATGAATGGCTATTGTTTTACTTTCCAGGTGGATGTGCGGACGATCCACGGCAGCACTCCCCTCTGCTACGCCTGCTCATCCGGCAGCTTGGAGTGTGTCAAGCTACTCTTGCAGTATGGCGCCCAAGTCAACCCGTCACTCACCGCTTTGACGGCGTCCCCCCTCCATGAGGCCTGCATCCAAGGCAATAAAGCAACGCACTGGCAACCCGGTGATGTGAATTTAGTATAACGCTACCTTCCGTCCTCAGGAAATCCTGAGATAGTAAAGCTGCTGATTGCCAGCGGTGCCCAGCTGGAGGCGTACGATGTCCACTTTGGCCCACCGCTGCACATCGCATGTGCAAAAGCGCGCGTGGAATGTGTCAGGGAGCTTCTCCTTGCAGGTCAGACAGTATGATATGTACACTGGATATAAAAAGTCTACACACCCATTCCAAATGCCAGATCTTTTGTCAACAAGGTTGATGTTTCTCACCACCACAACACAATCGAAAAAAAAAAAAGGATGCACACCCGTTTCCCGCAGGCGCCAACGTGAATTCGAGCAAATTTCACGAGACTGCCTTGCACCTCGCCGCTCGACTCGACACGCCGGACGTGATGGAGCTGCTGGTGGAGTTCGGAGCCAACGCGCACTCCGTCGACAACTGGGGACGAAAGCCCGGCGACTACTCGCCACCTGCGTCGCCGTCCTGTGCCTATCTCAGGTTTTACGAAAGTGCGTCGTCGGCTCTTGTTGGCGGTCGGCTTGTTCGTCAATGTGGCAAATTCATCAATGCGTCGCGTTTGTGTGTTGGGCTACAGGAAACCCGCTGAGCCTTCAGCAGCTTTGTCGAATCACCGTGAGGAGAGCTCTTGGTACCTCTGCCACGGCGGTCATAGGTTTGCTGGACATAGCCCGTCGCATTCAAAGCTATCTCCAGTTTTGTCACCCCGCATCACTAGAGTTCCAAAATGGAGGTTTGATTTAACGAATGTACAGTGAAACTGCCGCTATTTATGAGTGTTGGAGCAATTGAAATCGTGAAAATCCACGAATAATTGACGTCCCGCTTAAAAGGTTGCTACTGTACCGTGATCGCCTGGAGATGTCGCAAGATGGCGGCAAAGGACTACTTTTGTTTAAATGAAGCCCCTCAACTCACTTGAACCCCTTAACCGCTGTCCCTGAAAGGGTTAACTACTGAATACAGCCGTTTATGTAGCATGGGTTCATGACTGTGTACATTCGAGAGGCATGGTGTTGGTGTTTTATGATCCTTTACGTTTTCAGCGCAAGTTGTGTCATTCATACGCAGTTGGGTCATATCATAAATCCTATAAATTGTTGTCAATACGATGACAAGCCACTAAATAATCATTAAAGCTGACCATATGAACCACATCTTGTTTCCTCATTTTTATTCAGGTTATCAAAATGGAATGCCGTCAAATGATTGCATCTGTTAAAATGCAGACAGACAACGGTTCTCCAGCGCGCAGCAGACGGCCACCATCTTATCCAACAAGGTGACTTCTTCACCGTCGAGCAATCGCATGGCGTCGACGGGCAGAGCCACCTTGAAGATTTGATACTTGCGGTGCATCTTTCCCAGCATCGTTTCAATGTGTGCTCCCAGATGCGTTACGCCTCCCACTTCCTTCTCCGCGAGACAACCGTCAGCTCGGACGAAAGTCGGCTCGTCGACCTCGGCGTAAAACGAGACGCCGCTTTTGTCCGCGTCGAAACCGTTGCCCAGGACGACGTCGCCCGGCAACAACTTGTTTAGGAAGCCGCTTTCCTGCAGGATCTTTTTCGTAGCCATAAAGCCGTCGCGCCCTTTTGATACAAAACCAACAAATCCACACGGCGTAACGGCGATTAAATACCGAACGGCATCATTACTTCCGTGTTCTTTGTGACGTGCCGGTTTTTGAACGAACACTCGAAAACAGTCAACGATGGCGACGGCTTTGCGACCGAAGGCCTCGACGAACTGGCGAGGTATCGTCCTTTGTAAAGTACTTCGACTGGGCCACGTAATGGAAGTCCTCAGGTTTGTATACAGAAACGAAACCGTGTCCTGAAACATCGTATCCACTGTGCTTGTCGAGACGCTGAAAATGTGGGCGAGGTGCTGCGAGGGCAAATCCAGCCGGAGGCGCATGAATGTCAGCAGAAGGACTTGAAAAGGACTGAGTCTGCTCTCCCGGGCTGGCATGAGAGGTAACAAAAAACAAAAAAAGGTCATGAAAGAGCCCACGTTTGGCATCCCGGTGTAATATTCCACTTTGTTGTCGTCGTCCTCAAAAAAGCCATCGGGCATTTTGAAAGCGTCGAGCTCGCGCCTGAGTCGTCGGTTTTCCTCCACCAGGCGGCTGATTTCCGCAACCCTTTGGATGCACAATTTGCATTCCGCCTGCCCGTTCGTCTCTTCTTGCTTCACTTCCTTTGTTCCGATTCCGCAGCCGTCTGCGTTGCTTTCCGTTAGTTCCCGTTTGACTATAACGTACGACGTCTCCTCCAGTTTCCACGTTACCTCTTCTTCGCAGAGCGTCGGCTCTTTCATTGTTGACTCTCCTCCCTGCTGGATACGCTCGCTTTGAAGAGCCGGATTCCTTCTTTTGGCTGAACGCGGGGCATTGCCGTGTTCGCTCTCTGTGATGAAAGGAAAATGAAAACTGTATTTGACCCTTTGATACATGGGAAAAAAACAAAATTCGTGGAAGTGGCACTCAACTGCGCTTCCTGCCTCTAAAGGCCTTTGTCGTCTTCTTGCAGCGGGAAAGTTCTCCACGCTGCTTCCTCCAACGTCGTATCATGGATTCGTTAACTCCGAGCTGATGCGCAGCTTTTCGATTGCCCTTTTCCATTGCCAGGTCGATCGCCTTCAGCTTGAAGGCCGCAATGTAGGCAGTACGTCGCATCTTCGTCATGATGAGACGCTTGTTTGGTTCCGAATAATGATCCGAATGCTCCTATCTGTGTGGATTTGAGTTAAAAATATGACCAGTCAACACTGGAGCATTACTCTCATGGAAGACAAAAACAAAAACATGAACACAACTACTGCCAAGGAAGACTTATTTGATGTCAAATTTTTCTTTTTTTTTTTTTGCATTGCAACAGACAACAAGTGCACGAACCCAACTCATCTCGCATGAAAAGAGCGGCACGCTTTTGGAGCGGTTTGCTGCTCCGCAGAATAGAAAAACTACAGTTCCTCGACAGCACCATATGACGTGGCGCGCTATCTTAAAAATACGAATTTGCGAATATGGTATTTTGCGGACATTTATGGACATCAGTCGCCGTTTGTTCGTATCGACGAATGTAAATTAACTAGCTGCCAAAGCGAGAACTAATTCCCACTATTTTACCTCGATGGAAATGTCGACAGCAAACGAATATGAAGGGCGTTATATTGGCAAATGTGATGTCTTTGCGTCGGACAGCGGCGACCCAAGCCGACCGACGCGTCTTGGAGACTTCCCTGATCTGCGCCCCTTCCACGTCGGGAAAGTAAAAAATCTCAACCCGTTGTCAAGTTTCCTGCCGCGGCTGTCGCGTGACTTGTTGGTGCAACCCAGAACACAACATATGCGAACCATAGCCGCGATAACAGATAATAAACACCGAGCGCCTTTCAATGTTGACGATTTCGACTTCTTCTTTCATCCGACAGGGCAGTCTTACACACGCTATGTTAATGCTAACGGACGCCCTCTATCGCGACTTTATGCTATTGCATCCAAATGATTGTGTCGGAAAAATTCAACAAACATTCAAGTCAAGTAAAAACACCTGAAAAATCTAGTTATGTATTTTAACGAGGAATTGTCCTTAGTTTCCTCATACCTCAGCCTAATAGTGCGGTTCATTCGTATTTACTAGCGTGAAAGTGCATTGTTTACCCCAACCGCCAGGTGGCGGTAAAATGCTCAATGCCAGTTGCCAAGAAAAGGACCGAAGAAAAATCCCCACGCGTCACCGCTGCAGGAAAGCGTCTTGTTTACAAACATCGTACGGGTCTTCGGCGTGTTTCTCAGCTGGCAGTGGCAAGCAATGGACTTGGAAAATAGGCAACCATATTACTTCGGAGACATCAGTGCGTATCAACGAAAACTCCGCAGTTGTGGTAGTATGTGTAGTAGTATGTGTCAAGGAGAAGCTAACGTTAATGTTGCATAGGTCAGTGTCATTTCAGCTGATAATTTGATGTAACCGTGCTGTCAACATATTGCGTCGCCATGAACAATAAAGGGTGAATAATAGCAACATTAATATGCACGTTAAAGACTTTACATTACAGAAACTGTGGAACATAGAAACATTTGACTCTTATTTCATAGGTGCAATTAAAAACATTTTACACTTGAAGTGTCCGTTTCAAGAGCAAAGTTGTCTATTTTTTAATTAAACGGGTGAATTGTTTCAGGCAAAAAAAAAAAATTTACAATAATGACGAGAAAGAAGCAATGTTTTTAAGAAAAGGATTATGTTTTTGAGATGAAAATCTATTTTCATCAACCTATCATGTTGCAACCACCGCCTCTCATGTTTTGACCTCTTTCCTTCAGGCTGCTGGTCAGAGAGAACTGAAGTCCACAAGGCAGCGGCGCTTGGTCAGGCTTCCCTTCTGCAGCACCTCATCGAGTGCGGCGCGTCTGTCAACATTGTGGCGGTGGACTCCATCACACCTCTGCACGAGGCCTGCGTCCGCGGGCAGGCTCAGTGCGCCAGGCTGCTTCTGGACGCTGGAGCTCAGGTGACCTCAAGTCTTATTGGAGATGGTAAAAGAACAGCCATGTCTGTTCTTATGACCTCTGATGGATGTTAGGTGGATCCGAGGAACGTAGATGGCAGCACCCCACTTTGTGAAGCTTGCTCTGTTGGGAGTTTGGAGTGTGTGAGGCTCTTGCTGGAACGAGGTGCCAAAGCGAATCCTGCCCTCACCTCTCGCACTGCCTCACCCCTCCATGAGGCCTGCATGGGAGGCAAGTCCTTTCATAGTACTGTCGTCCCAACAGTTTTGGGCTCCTCTTTAATAAGCACTGTACCCAATTTTGCTTCTATTGACCTCCAATAGGCGCTTACAATATTTAACAACATTTTATTTGCAGGAAACTCAGACTGTGTGAAGTTGCTGATTGCTGAGGGTGCGTCTCTGGAGGCGTATGACCTTTACCACGGGACCCCGCTGCATGTAGCCTGTGCTAACCAACACACACACTGTGTGAAAGAGCTCCTCAATGCTGGTGAGCATACATGTGATACTTTCCCCACCATTCTGATTAAAACAAACACACAAAAAAAGTAAAGGTTGAGCTCAAATTACAATAGGCCATGGACGTCACACTAAAACATACAAATATATGCTATGCGATATCTGGTAAAAATTGTTTTCTGTCATCCTTTGTCTTTTTTTGGCTACTTGACTGAGTGGAGATAACTCCAGTTACCAGTCATTACCAGATATTATACACTGTGTGAACTTTTTGTTCAAAATATAACATAAAAATAAGGGAATCCCGAATGAATAAATGTCGATATCAGACGTAACCGATGAAAAATGTACTTAGTCGGTTGATCCATATGCCGACAAGAAGCGCTACACTGCATTTCCTCTTATGTCCACCGGGTGGCACAAGTCATTTGAAAAAAATAATATTTCTCTAAATTTATTACTTCATTTATTTTCACTTGTACACACAATTTATACTGAGACCAAGTTTGTCCAGAAGTTTATTGGTTTAAAGACGCAAATATGTCAAGGGAGCAGGCTCTGGGTCGCACAGCATCCACTGCTCTTCACAACAGAGCAGAACAGCGGTCACATGACGTCACAATCACGCGACAGAGCGAAGCGAGACCGAAATTCGTCACTACCACTTTTAAATATAGATTTATATAGAATTTATCGTTTCGCCTGAATTAGAATAGCTACAAATTACTTATTATTATTATTGTACATAGCAGAGGGTAAATTATACTAATACCCCTTTCCTTGCAGGTGCCAAAGTGAACGCTGCTCGGCTACACCAGACGGCGCTGCACCACGCCGCAAAGAGCGCGCAAGTAGAAATGATCGAGACCCTCGTGGAGTTCGGCGCCAACGTTTACGCCCGGGATAAACACAATAAGAAACCCGTCGAGTACGCCTCGCCGGGCTCTGCGGCTGCAGCCTGCCTGCGCTCTTATGAGGGTATGACTCAAATGTTATCAGCAGTGGCGCAAAGTTGCCACGTGAGGTCGCCCAAGGATCATTTTTGATACAGCATCCAACAACGCACAGATGAGAGGAATTGCAAACAATTGATTATTTTTGCTGAGCTAAATGTATTTTTTTCATCGTATTTATGTTGCTGTTCTTTTCTGCAGCCATTCCAATGAGTCTGCAGCAACTCAGCAGGTTGGCAGTGCGACGGAAGCTGGGCACCAGGGCTCTGAAGGTTGTTGCTCAACTCCAGTTACCAAAGCTCATTATCAGCTACCTGTGCTATCAGTGATGTGAAGCCTGAAGAGGATTCAGATGGTCATTATAACAGAAAAAAAAGACTGTAAGCTCTCGAAAAACAAAGCACGAAAGACAATGCATTAATTCAGTTGACACACATTTTCGTGAAACAATGTCTGAATATAATCTTTTAAATTCACTAATTCACCGTGATGTTGGACCCTGTCTGATAGAGGTCTGTCTTTTTTCTGTTTACTTGATGTATATATTTAAAGAAGAAATGCTCTTATGTTTATCATATTAATTGTATAATGATACTTAATTAAAAATGCTTGTTATAATGTACTTGTTCCTGCCATTCTTTGATGCACGGCGTTGTTGCGGCATGTAAATTCTGAAGGCCTTGTCAAGGAAGAGAAACAGCTGTAAGCCAGATGCTTCTCTTTGTTTGGTTCAGTACTGTATACTTACTGTAAATGTATAGTTTGCAGCCAGGGGGCTATTTCTGCTCCAAATGACACCGGCGTGAGCTAATTTTAGCAAGGCGTACAGGAATATGTTTATAAATTCTCCGAGGCGCCGCAGTAGCATCTTGATCGTGGTCCTTGTTGACATGACCTCTTTCGGAATGTTTCGTAACCGACCCATTTAGGCCGCGATTTATCTCAATGTTGAACTGGAAGACAAATTCAGGGCATGAGATATTTGCTGGTATTTAGGTAATGGCGCTGTATTTAGCGCCTCCTGTTTCTCCTCAGTTTAATCTTTTATTGTAGTCTGTCTGCCAAGTGGCTTGAGGATCTAGGCGTATCTTTTGGATTTCCAATAATAACTGGCTCAACAAGTTTGCGGTAGCTGGGTTCAAGGCATGTGGTTATTTATTTATTTATTTTTTAATTTGTGGTACTAGATACATGTCAAAATGCCTCAAAAACAGAGTTATGTTTACAAAAGCACACCTTATCTCTGAATTATGTTCTTACCTTCCAGTCTGCAAGACTGGCTCGCACATTAGGCCATGTAGGGAGATGCTAAAGGGTGCCATGGAATCCAAGGGGCACTAAAACTCTGGTGGCAGGGCACACATAGACGAACAACCATTCATGCTCATAGTCACACTGAGGGACAATTTAGAGTGTTCCGTTGACCTGCCCAGGGGGGAATGTAGGAGGAAACTGGAGGGCACAGTCACGGGGAGAACATGCAAGCTCCACAAAGGAAGGCCGGAGTCGGAATTGAACCCTCGACCTCTGCACTGTGAGGCCGGCGTGCTAACTCGTCGCCCACCGTGCCATCAGTTTCTATAAGGTCTTAAAATAGAAAAAAAGTTAGTATTCCTATCGATTCAAAGATAAAGCAATGCCTAATAAGACAAAAAATAATAATTCCAAATAAATGACTTCCGGTGCCGGCTCCCAACCACAATGGACCCACGTACGTATGCGGGGTTTTCAACTAAAAAAAAAAACCCAAACCATTAATTTTTGGAAGGCAGGAGGTGGGTTTTTTTTTTTTTTAGCCTCCCCACATGTAAAACGCATCAATTTTGTTTTGTTAATTTTTTTCCCCCATATAATTGGCGAAAATTAAAGTGCATTTCAATTTCAAAACGCATTTTCGCCATTTGATGATTACCTTTCCGGCGCAAATACGGGAGCCCACTGTTTCGTATCTCTGTCGGTGACCGAAGGCGAATTTACTAAACATGTCAAAATGACAAACCGTCCGGAACACACGCACGAAAAAAAAAAAAAAGTAAATATGAGGATCAAAAAGGGGAAAAGAAAGATACTGGTGTTTAATGAAGTCCAACCACTCACTTGCTAACTGCTTCAACATGGTATGCTAATCAGTAAACTAGCGATTTAATTGTTGTTTAACTGGCCCGCAAATGTGAATCTTAAAATAATTTCTGGACAAAACGTACTCCGTTTGACGTTTACATCACATTGTCCTAAAGTACGCATTTGTCATTTGTTGATAGCATTTACATACGATATGCTAACGTTTCCCCTTTGTTGTGGTAATAGTCCAAATGCCCCTTTCACTTTTTTTTTGTGTCAGGTTTTTAACACTAGTTGCACGTAGTCTTCGTTAAAACTGCAAAAAGCTTGTGACTTACTTTAAACTTCGCGTCATGTATTATTATTATTATTTTTATTGTTGTAGTCGTCGTAGGATAAATACTGATGAGCAGTCGTATACAAACTGAATGGTTTTTTAATGTGACATTTGATATTGATTGTTATCATTTCTGACTGTTATTTTCTCGTGTACCCGATTTTCAGATAATTGTGCATTTATTTGTATTTATTTGAAAATCGAGTGACATGTTGTCCTGTACAATCAACAATGGGAGAAATGATACTCAATCTTTTTGTATGTGTATGTATAATCACCGACAGATGGAGGGGTCGCCATAGAAAATCTTGCCCAGGGCGCCACATTGACTCGGGCCAGCCATGGATAAAGGTAAGAGAGGAGACTCAAAAGTATACACCGCAGAAGTTACACAAAATAACCATCAATTCCCCCTCTGTCTCGAAGACCGTGCAAGATCTTGCGTAGTGGTGTGAGCATGATCCTGACAAAGGTAAGGAAGCCGCGTCAAAGTACACAATAGGAATTTGTTAATCAGCACCCTAATCACTTGGAGTGAAATCTTTCAGTGCCCACAAGGTCCCCTGAAAATGGCCTCGGTGAACATCTAAATGACTCAGAGGACGCCTGGGGAGAAGTTCAATGGCCAGATGAAACCAAAGTTTGAACTATTCGATACAGACCTGACCCGGCGCGTTCAGAGGATGAAAGAAATCGGAATTTGAACCACAGAACACCCCCGCGCTCAAGTGCAGGTGTAATGATGTGACCTTTTTGGAGTGTTTATCCTTCAAAGTGCCATTCATTGATGTTTAATTAAGACCATATACGGGTGCGTATTCAATCTCTAGCAGTAACCCCAGAGCCTTTAAGACTTGTTAAACACAGAAAATCGGTGTGCTCTAAATTCCAGGCGGATAACCGGGAAGGCATGTGTGGAATTCCAGTGCGCCAAGGTGAAAAATGGTCCTCACTCCAAAATTGGAGTGAGGACAGGCATTTTTTTTGGGAGGGCGTTTCATTTCCTCTGATTGAAGGATGCATCACAATTTAGAGGTTTTGGGTTCGAATTCCCTCTCAGGCCTTTTTGGATTTTCTCCGGGCACTTGAGCTTCCTCTCAATTTCTAAAAACATGCGTTTTCACTTGATTGAAGACGAAATTATTGTTTCCTGGCATAGGCTCCAACTCAGAATCCGTCGGCCAGAAGAAAGTTAAACTACTCGCTTGTCTTGGAAACAGGAGTTAAGAGCATTCTGACAAATCAGTTAAGTGAAGTTATATTTGAACCATCGATTAATTGATGGTTAATTTAAGGATAAAGTGTCAAATGCCCATTTCAAGTTTATCTTTTAATGCACATTACTGCCATCGGTAGGGCCAGAGTGGAACTGCATCATAATTTTTATCCATGACATGTTTTAATGAATTTACATTTTATGTACAGGACTCCGTTACAACCGCATTGGTTTCTTAAAGTGCTCTATCAATAAAGTTGAGTTTAGACATATACGGTAGAGCATTGTTTTGCCTCAATTGATGGAAGACGCTTTGGGAAGTTGTATGTACACTAAACACGTTCGGTCTTCCTGATCGGGTACATGTATCTTCGGCCCATCTGCAGAAGGTCATGGTGGATTGTGCTGCCAAGTCGCTGTTGTAAACACAAAGCCCGGAACACAATGCACCAGGTGCCCTGCTGGAGTGTACCCGTTCACGTCCAGCAATTTAAAACATAGTTTTTAAATGCTTGTCTTGTAAAAGCATAAAGAAAAGTTGGCGCTTTGAATGTGTTTTTCTTCTCCTTCCTGCCTCTTGATTGACTTTCAAAATGAGCGACTGTACTGTTTTTTGTTGCAGGAGTCTGCTGGGCTTTGGGAAGTAAGTGTGAAGTAAGTAGCGGTTATGTAATATTTACATAATGGCACGCACACACCCTGGTGCAAGAACGTTGGGGTTGCATGCAACGGAGTTCACTGGTACATTGGAAGGGATTTGGTGCACCCATGTTCTGTCAACCTGTCATTTTAGTATTAGTGAGTAGTTGTTTTTTTTTTTTTTTTTTTTTTTAACCCAAGCAAAACATTACAGTGTGTAATCATCACTTGACAAAAATATAAGTGATCTTTTTTTTTTTTTAATTTCCATTAGTCTCTACTTTTGAAAGGTGCATGGGCGGCAAGGATGATACTGTATAGTATATGAAAAAAAAAATCACGAAAAATAATCACTTCAAAGAATATTCTTGGAAAGGTACACCACAATTCTTGAAATATGAAGATATTATTTTCCCCCAAATTATTTTTTTCCTTGTAAAAATATGAGTATTAATGCAAGAATGCAACTTTTGTCTTGTCCTTTGCATCTTTTTAAAATCATTTCACAATACGACTTTATTCTCATAATTTTAAGACATTTTTAAAAGTAAAAAAAAACAATTCTTTACCCTCACGATCTTGTGAACTTATTCTTGAAATATTTTGACTTTTCTCATCAAAGTATGACTTAATCTCTTTATTTAAAATGTAGATTTGCAATATTAGGATTTTTCCTTGAATAATAGTAATAATAATAATAATAATTGATTTCTGCTCTCTCTAAATATGTTATTCTGGTACGAATAAGCCTTTTATTTTCCTTCAAGAAAAAAAATGGCACTATTCTTGTCACTTTATATTATCACTATTCACCTGATAAAAATACAACTTTTTTTTTGTGGAATGATTAAAAAAAAAAAAATCTAACCTTTACTTTCTATCCCTTTCCAGGATCAAGGTCTATTTTACCCCTCTGACCACTTGGCGGCGCTACAGAAAAGCAAATCCAGTAAGTGTCATGAAGCCAGCATGCGTTCAGGCCCTGTGGGCAAAGCGAAAACAAGCTTCTGTAAAATGTGGTCGCTCTCGGTGCAGCCCGCTGATTTTATAGGAAACATAACGAGCAGGTCTTCCTCAGTGCACCATAAACTAGGATGGGGGAGGGGTGCTGTATATGTATATGTGTGGGGGGGCGTCCTATCTTGGCAGAAAGCAAAGAGCAGATCGCTTGTGTTGATTTTCGAGGCCCTGCACAGACAGGAACCGGGAGGCTTTTGTTTGGGAATCATGAGATAAACAGTGAGCTGAATACTGTGATGGTCCACTGCTATGCCCCCCCCTCCACCCCCAAAATGAGCCGCAGATGTGCACAACACACTCAATCTTCAGGAGCGACTTATTTTCATACACATGCTCTTACAGTTGCCCTCAGAAGACGTCCTGACATGCACATCGTTAGCATAGTTGCCCAAAGCCATATTTGAAAGTTTTTGGAAAACGGGGAGGGGTGGGGGGGGACACAATAAATTCAACACACAAGTGTCCCGTTGCCTTGATTCAAGCTTTGCGGATTACCATGAGAAGTCACAGAGCCAGACGTGAAAGAAAATAGCAACCACATTGGTATTTTTCGACAATGGCAATACTGCCACTCGTTTTAATGATGTGAAGTTAATATCTCAGAATTGACATCGGATTTGCTGTAATCCGCACAAAAATTACTCGGCATCAAAATGATGCCTCGCAAACGAGACGTTGCATCTCAAGGGGTTTATCCCACGTTATTAAAGAGTTTTCGTCATCATATCCGAGTTTATGGAGTTTGTACCGGAGACAGGCTCTGAACTCAATTTACTTGTGTATCTTTAAGCCTAAAAATCATAATCGCCTGTGTCATTTTTTTAAATTTATGAGGACAATAAAAAAAAAAAAAAAAAAAAAAAAAAGTCCTTGCTCAGAATATTTTTTTTCTTCCATACTGTGTGGATTCTTAATCATCAAGTTTGGGATGCGAGGAATCGAATCAGGGCAGCGAGGCTTTTGTTTACTGGACTTGTCGTGGTTTTTTTTATATTCCAAAAATGTTCAGGAAGGGAAAAAAAAGGTAATTTTTGACTCTTTGCCGAATGATACAATATCAAATCAAATGTACCCACTAAAATGAATTGAAAGACCACTAATCCGAAATTTGACAGGAATAAAGTTAACATTTTTTGAAAACAAAATGATATATCAATTTTCACAATGTAACACTTAAAAGCATTTTTTTGTGGAAAATGAAGTTGTCTTTTCTAGAAAAAAAATGCATAACGTGAGGATATAATTGCAGTTTTCATACTCATTCAGGGATGACTTTCTTGCCGCGTTAACCACTGGCTTGCATATATTCCAACTTTATTCCCATACAACATGACTTTGTTGTCATCGGATTATGACTTTTTATACTGACAAAATACATTTCTGTTGCCAACTTTTTTTAACCCCCCCCCAAAAAAAAAAAAAACAGATGAGCAAATGTCTTGTCTATGTTCTTGTCACTTTTCATCTTTTTTTCCATAATCTTTTGGATTATGGCGGGGTCCTTCGGAAAAATGTCTACTCTGGAAAGGGGAAACAAAAAAAGTTGACAACCCCCCCCCTCCCTTGTCCTGATTGCTATCTCACTGGCCTTTATTCACGTGTGTCTGGTCTGGATGTCAACGCCCCAGAGTTAACACACACACACACACACACACACACACACACACACACACACACACACACACACACACACACACACATATAGGGGACACGCGGCTTGATGACTCAGCCATCTGGTTGTATTTTTTTTTTAAGGGAGTCCCCCCTGTTCCGAAGTTGGCTAGTCTGCAGTGCAAATGAAAAAAAAAGCCTTGAGAATTTAAAAAAAAAAAAAAAAAAAACTCCTTCTGCAGACTCTTTCCGTGCGTGCGTGTGTGTGCGTGTGTGTGTAGCGCTGTAGTGCTAGTGACGCATGCATGCTGGCTCAGCAAGCCTTCTTGATTCTCTCTGAACCATTCTCATGAAATTGTCAAACCTCCCCCCCAAAAAAAAGTATTTAAATAATGATTCAATTATGGACATATGTATTTTGCTTTTAATTTGTATGAAAATGATGCCTAAATGAATATTTAAAAACAAAACATTCTCAAAGGTGAAATGCAAATGTGTTGACAAAAAAAAAAGTTAAATACAACTGAACTGTCCTTACTTTGGCAGTGATTCTTTTGTGTACCACGAAGCTAGCCACAGTAAGCAACCGATTTTATTTTTGAATGATATCTGACGCAAATATGATTCATATCAATTAAATGACTGCAATGTTTGCCTTATAGTTTTACTCTCTTGATTTATGAGTGCTGGTGTACAGTTGAATGACTCACTTGTGGGGGGGTACAAGGTACAAGGTGCTCTTTTTGCAAAATGGCACTGTTTGAATGTACTGAGAGGCGCATTGCCGAGCGAAAGTACAGAATGTTCCGCGGGTAGTCCTGCTGTATTTCTGTGGCACGCTGGGATTCCCGCGCCGCTTACCTGATGGGAAAAATACAAAGCATGTTAGTAGAGTCAAGGGCGGGGATGCGAGCTGTCGTAAAATCCTCAACGTGTTCGTTGAGTTACGCAGCAACGCCTTGTTTATTGTCCGATTTCTCACATCTGATTGGCCAGTGGTGTGTCGAGACGAACACATAAGCAGCATAGTTTCAGTCAACGCGATAATTGATGCTTGCTTTTAATGATATGTGACAAGAATTTGATTTACAATCGTCGGCTAACTTCTTGGCAGGTCTTCTTATAGGCCAGAAGTATGTCAGTGTTGTGGTTAAATTCCTCCTGTTGTTGCAATTATGTGATGTAACGTTAGCATATCGTGCACTTATTCAGCCTGTTGTTCTCTATTTTGATTTTAAATTGCCTTTCAAGATGACACGTCTGTTCTTGGTGTTGGATTTGATCACAAAAATTGTTCTCGTGACGACTGTATAATAATAGTTTGCAAAGTGCGAGTTAAGATTAGACCGCGCCTATCTGCCTGGCGCCCGCGGGGGCTCTGAGGGGGACCACTTTTACACCCGTGGCTGTCTCAATCTTTCAACGCCACCATTTGGAAGGTAACATTCATATTGACAACCAAAAGCCCCCCCTCTGCCCTCCAAAAACAAACTGGAAGGCTTTTCCCAAGGCAATTGAAATACATTACTTAGTCATGCTTTCTACGTATTTAGGACGGCAGTGAATGGAGTCTACAGATTTTTGGCTCCACGAATCCAAATATAGTATTTTCAATATTGGAGCCAACTCGTGCAACAAAAGCATGGGACCAAGATGTAATCCCTGAGGACTTTTTAAAAAAAAAATCATATTGTCATAGTCTTACTTATTCAAATGTGATGTAATGACTGTCCAATTGAGATTTGATCTAATCAAGTGACAAAATGAGTTTTTGGTGGTATTCGGAGAAAAACATCAATCTCGTAAATTGCTCAGAAACCATTGCCCTTATCGAAGCTTGCGTAAAAAAGTTATTGCAATCATGGTATTATGCTTTTGCTGTGTTTTTTTTTAATTTTGGGATTGGTTGACCGCTTTGAAAAAAAAAATATGATTCATGTGTTTCAGAGTCTGCACAAGGATGCCGACAGATTATGCGCCGTTCATCAGGTGCCCATCACAGAAGCACGCGAGGTAAGGAACAGTCCTTCTTACATAATCTAAGAATGTGCTCGACTGACAATCGTTTACATCGCGGCCGGTCACAGAACTATTTGGCCTCGAGGTAGCCATCCATAAATCGCCTTATCCGTCAACGTAGTGCATTCCGCGTTGCCGCTGTGTATAGAGCGAGGTGTGTTTCTGATTGACTGACATCTCATCTATGCGGTTTTGTTGTAATATGCATATGTCTCGTGCGGAAATGTTTGTATTAATTGTCAAATGTTGACGCTGACTTTTTTTATCTTCATGTCATGCTGCTTAAAGGCTGGCGGAAATGTTTGTATTAATTGTCAAATGTTGACGCAGACTTTTTTTTAATCTTCATGTCATGCTGCTTAAAGGCTTAATGAACTTTGGCTTCACGCGATGGGTATCACTGCACTGTGACATACTGTATAAACAGCCATGTTCGTTTTCAGAATATGAATTGTCAGTGAAGGTTTTGTCATAAGGTACACCTACATTCAACAAAAAAGGTAGGTGCTGAAAAAAATGTTCACAAAAGTTCGACAAAAGGGCTTCATAAGAACCCAGATTTAGCCAAAGCACCTAGTAAAATATCCATGGCTGAAAATTTGACACAAGATGCGGAATCTGAAAGCTGTGTTTGCCCGGAGAGACTGAGCTCCCAACAAACCTGTGAAAGCATGTTGAGGTGAGTGAAATACTTTCACTCTGACGGTTGCGTCGTTAGCTAGGGGGCTTAGTTCCATTTTGCACGTTGATGGTTAGATTTTGGAACCTGCTATCTTTTAAATATCACTTAAAATACAGTAGGCTCAAGCCAAGCGGTCTGTACCAATACTCTTGGTTTGATTAATTCATTTTAGCTAAATGGTGTAATAATAGAAGGGGATTTAGATGCGATCCAAGAGGAATGCCACATGAACTGGAATTAATCAAACACATGAAATTTTGTATTAAATCCTTTTGGTCACTGTGGACACATCCACTGAAGCTGCAACATCACAACAGGGAACCCTGAAACTTTTGTTTACATTCGGTATGATCTCATCTAGTAGCTATGTTACTTGATTAAAATATATTTTTTTATGATTTGAGGGCTGAAAGTGATGGTTTGATTTATCAACATGAGGGTGTTTTTAGGGACTGTAGCCCAATTGGTTTTTAATAGAAATATAATTTAACCCCTGTAGAACACTCCATTACAGTATTCGGAAGATCCGCCGCTGCTTTCCATTGAGCTCTTTCAATGGAACTAGATATTGGTTATATCTGTGATACTCTTAGCTGCAGCTGCTCTGTTTAAAAGGAGCCCTTGCGTTTGTTTCGTGGTTTGTGTGGTCTTAATTTTCGAATGTCATCCCCACCCTATCAGCCTGTTTCCATAAATATCATTTACAGCACTGGTCTGCCAAAATATTCACCTTTCACCCTGAACCGGAGAGACCCTGACCGTTGAACGTTAAATGTCGCGCTGCTAACTCACAGTTGGCACAGCACTTTGGTTCTTTATCTCCTCTGTGCACTCTTCCCCCCCGATTTGTCTGTTACCAGTAGCACAGCTGCAGATATTTAATTGATAGACACGTTTCCTCACAGGAAAACGCTTATTCACACTTTCCACAGTGTGGAAACTGGAAAATCAGTGATGGATAAGAAGACGCGGGGATGGGAATGGCGATGAGTGCTATTACTGGAAACGATCCATACCACCGCGGCTCACCGCCAACCCGCTTTTAATACCACTCCGATGGCACAAGCATTTATTTGTTTGAGGGGTCGAGGTGAAGGGGCACCAGGTTAGTCGAAGAGACTACTATCACGAACTATAATAATTTTTTTCAATTATTGTTGAAGTGAGAGTAAACAGGGTAACACAATTAATGCAAAATCTCAACGTTATTTACCACACGTGACAGTTTGACATTTCGTTACAGATTTTAACAAGGATCATGCAACTTGACTCATGATTTGCTTTCGCGGGCCACATAAAGTGACGTTGCGGGCCGGATCTGGGCCCACGAGCCTTGAGTTTGACACCCGTGGCATACGGCATATTTTCTTTATCCTCTGCGAAACACGACAAATACTACAACAGCTAAATCACCACAGTCTTGTGTTTCATCGTCAAATCTTCATGGAGTATATCCATATGCATAACACTGCCCACTGGTGGCCAAAGCAGCAGATATAGTCACTGAGCCGACTTATTGTTGTTCAGCGAGATGAACCCCCCCCCCCCCCACGCCCCCCGTGATTTATACTGCAGACCCGCGGGGATCGGTAACACAATGTTTGCGATTAGCGTGTGTCTGCGAGAGGCGAGCACCCTCCCCAAGGCTCTCGCTCAGGATATTGGGTAATGTCTGGATTCCGTGCATTGTGGGCCCGGTCCATCTGCAAAGGCAATCGAGATGGCGCTGAAAGATACTCCAAAATGTGGGACCGCGCAGTGAACGGGGCGGCAATTTTCCATTCGGGGTGGCTTGGAAAGGGGGAGGATGTCTTGGATGTCTCTGACGAGGAGCCGGGAGCTCGGAAAGCTGGCATATGTAACAAGAGATGGTAAATGTGTGTTTTCGTTTAAAAAAAGTGTAATATGGATGGCAGTCTGAGCTGCAGGGCTGTTTGTGTTTGAAGGGAGACGTAGAAGGATTCGTCTTGACCAGTGTTTCCCAAACTTTAAGTCAAGGCTTGTGTTTGACATCAAGAAAAATCTTATGGCGCACCACCAAGCAAAAAAATACTGAAAGTCTATAATGCAGATTTTTTCTTTTTTTAACAATCTTTTAATTTTTGCCTTATACTAAAGTCCGTTAGCTTAATGCTAACACTCAATGCAAAACGCCATACAAGGGCTGACCAAACTCGCACCGATGTTACTGTGTTGAAGCCCTTCAAGCATCAAATATTACAATGTAAACATGCAGCAAGACATGTAGACAGACGATAACAAATAGTCTTTTTCAGTCTTCTCGTGTTTACACGACAATACTGTGAGTCTCTGTCCTTTTGTTACCCGACCTACTACTTTTTTTTTTATGCAGTAGACAGAAAATATTGGACGGGCTTAGAATAGTGCTGCAATGAGAGGTTGTTTGGCCAGCTGGCAACATTTAAAAGTTGACGTATTTAGCAGAACTGAAAGAATAAAAATCCTATGTGAGCATTTTTACAAGACTATAAAAAATTCTTCGGGGTTCTTGAAGCGTATCAATTTTCAAGATTTGCACACAAATAAAGTGTGAAAGATAGCTTGGAAGCGTGTATGTGTGTGCGTTTTTTTTAGTCGAGGCTGCCACATGAAGTCCAAGATGAAAAAAAATCAAATAAAACAGGCCGCGTGTCGGTTAGGCACAACACGAAAAACACTTCCCGTATTTTCCAAGAACACGCCGATCCCACCTTGCCCTTATGGTTAATTTGAACAATTAACACGGTGCAGTTCTTATAGATTACATGCAAATGTATTGTACTTAAAAGTTAAAGACAACTGAACTGAAATTGATCAGTGATTGTTTCATGTACCACTCGAGGGAGCCCGCTTAAACAAGTGGTACCACAATGTGAGAATCACTGACCTTACTGTGGATGATGCGTATGATGTCTGGAACATAGTCATCGTACATCAGAGACACTGCATTGAAATGGTAAGAACAAATACAGTCAGTGATTTCGTATGACTGATTAAAAAAAAATTAAAAATTGTAAAATAAACAAACATACATTTAAAACCAACTTTCTTTTCATTTATTCATTTGTCAAATGTGTATTTTTAACATTCAGTGCCACCCATTTTCAAAGCAGACTTCCACATATTGCCCACAGATTTATTGCGGTCTGTCGCAATATAAGCACTCAATAAACCTAAAGGAGACTCTCTTCTTGCACCAGAAAATGTTTGTTCCTTGTTCTGTTCTTTACTAATCAGTCTGCCGCACACCCGCAATCCGCGTTAGGATAACCAGCTTGGATAATGGAGGGATAATAGAACATGGGTTGGTTTCACCAAAAACACTAGATTCTGAACAAAAAGCAGAGCACATTTTGTGGGGGATAAAAAGTGTCAATCAGCAAATTGACTTTGACGATAATATTTTTTTGCTTTTTATGATCCAAGAAATATATATATATATATATATATATATATAAAAACAAAACATTAACACGTATGACAGAGATGAAAAAAAATGCATTAGAAGGAATCAAAACATTTTAAGAACGTATCCAATATCCAATCAGACATTCAGGTTTATGACTTATTACCGTTATTACAGTACTGTATGAATAGTGTTATTTCTCCCACTGTCCTTTTAGTTGCACGATAAAGAAGCTTTCTCCGCAAGGTGGAAGTAGCGGCAGCCATGTGGAGCCAACGCTACAATCAAAGTTGTTTCATTGAGTCATTTTCAAGCTAATCGCTGGCTGCTTTGCTTCATCTCACCCGCGAAGGATGCAAAAGACGCCTTCCCGGATAACCAAATACCCCTGGCCACAGACCGGGTAATGAGCTTCATAAATCAAAGAGTAATTACCTCAGGACTGGAAGTGCAAATTGATTAAAGACTAGCATCCCCCCCTCCCCCACGCTCCTCTAAAATTGTGAGCAGAAATGTCGTCGAATGACTTAAAACCCTCCTTGCATGCTATACGTTGCCAAAGTAGCACTTCGACACGTCGGTCTCCCATCAAATCCCCGCTGGTAACCTTTTCCCCTTCTGTGATCGACTGTTTCCATCGTTGAACGTGTCCATTTTTCAGCCAGCCTATATGTTCCTGAGGGAAAACAGCTGCCAGATTTCCCAGCATCCATTAGCTTCTTTGGGCAGACCTCACCTGCTACTTTTACTTGCTTTGCACAGTCTGGACGGAAACAGTGACACACCGCAGACCGATCCAGCGTTCTCTGCGGGGCCCTTTGATCCGTGATTTAGCACCCCGAACGCTGGACGTGCGCGCGCCGTGATTTATAGGTCAGGGTCAAGGTCTGCTCGTTCCTCTGGCGCTTTTATTTTTGCAAGCTCGTATGCATGAAAGGAGGATAAAGGGTCCAGAGGCAACCGGTAATGAGCGGCGTGATGGGAAGTTGGACGTCACTGTTGGCGAACACGAGCAGGTCTCGCGCCGGAGCGGCGATTACCGGCGGTTCCTTGCGCGCTTCGTCCTACATGAGCGCTGGCGAGAAGCTTGATTCCATTTGTTATGTCAGACGCGGCGTCCGATTTCCAGGCGATGCTAATTCAAACATT